TCATTTCTCCTCATCAAAGTTCAAAACCATGAGAACTCCTAGGCACATCCTCTGGTAAGTCTGGGATACATTTCAGCAGATCTGAAACATGTTCAGCAGAAATTAATATTCTGAAGAGACTGAATCCAACAAATACTGCGAAACTCATTATTTTGTTTAGCGAAATTCGGTATCATTGTAATTTTTCTGTCTTAATACTGTTTTGTACTCTCTTTATAAAATAGCAAAAGAATGCTTAGATTTAAAAGCAGAGCCAATTAAATGCTAAGACTGAAGAAACACAAGGAGACTGGAGAGACCCTGAGAGGAACGTAGCCAGGCACAGCATTCCGCACAGTTCAGCACTTTGCAGGCCGGCAGCTTGCAGGCTCCAGGGAGTTAGAAGTCTTCCGTGAACTGCCCGTCGGGCTGCATGGTGTGAAATGAAAATTCACTCCACCCGACTCCGGCCATGTGGGTTCTCGCTCAGCTTGCCCTCATGGGCCAGTCACTTCGCCAACCCTCGATTTCCTGTCACTGGGAGGCTCAGAAGGATAATTTTAGGCTTGGGCACTTTGTCTCCTCCCGCCCTGGCCACTCTGAGAGGGAGCCGACAGTGCTGCCCCTCACCCGCCATGGGCCAGCAGAATGGCCGTGCCGTGCACACTGCCTGGGCTGCAGGACTGAAGGCGGCCGGCCGCTGTAGGTGACGTTGCCCATGTCTCCTTGTCCTGCAGGTTCATTCGCACTGATGCTTATGTCCGTGCCATGACTGAGAAAAGGATTGTCATAACCGAATTTGGCACCTACGCGTACCCAGATCCTTGCAAGAATATATTTTCCAGGTCGCTGAAGCCAAGCTGCATGCTACAAAAGACATTTTGCATCATCTCTTTCTTTCTGCTGGCTTGAAAGTTTTTAAACTGAAAATGATTTGCCTCTGTAGGTTTTTTTCTTACTTTCGAGGAGTGGAGGTGACGGACAATGCCCTGGTGAACATCTACCCGGTGGGAGACGATTACTATGCCTGCACGGAGACCAACTTCATCACCAGGATTGACCCAGAGACCTTGGAGACAATCAAGCAGGTGGGAGACTGCTCAAGCGACACTGCTCAGGAAGTTTGAATTTGGAACTTAAAATTAAATCCACTTTGCAATTCGATGGAAAGAATGTGAGAACCAGATTAAGTTTCAAATCCTTACTTTGTCAGCAACTGCTAACTATACAATGAAGGATAGATTTCCATTCTTTACATGTAAAATTGTAAACACTTACATGGACTTCAGGAAAATCTTGTAAATGGCCAATATATTCATTCATCCATCCATTCAATCATTCATTCATTCATCCATTCATACAATGCTTATTGAGTGCTTTCCACATACCAGAACTTCTGCTAGATGTAAGGAATTTCTCAATGCTAAGAGAACATGGGGCTGGCCAGATAGTTCAGTGGACTAAAGCACCTGCTTAGGCAAAGCACAGTGGCTGGGGTTCGATCCCTGGTATGCTGTGCCAGCCCTGCCCCCAGGGCATGCTGAGATGGCATTTGAGACTGGGCATAGTGGTGTGCGCCTATAATCCCAGTGCTTGGGAGGCTGAAAACAA